GAGAGTACCTTGAAAAGCAGCGCTATTCTTGTTTGTAGGGGATCTCGTTTGGGTGGCTTTAACTGTGAGAAGTTCCCGCGAAAACAATGTTAAGTCCTCCGAATGGCTTGAATGTGTTTCCCTTGATTTCTTGAAGGTTCTTGTAATCTTGTTGATATGGCCTTCGCACGCAAATGAAGCTTCGTCAATGATCACCAATCTTGATCCGTCCCATCCTTGTAAGAAGTCAAATCCTCACTGTTCTCCGGTTTATCAGATAGCGCTGTGTGTTGTCTCACCGTGAAGTAACGTAGCGGCTACGCCTGATAAGGATGTAATAACTATCGTTCGTGAATTGAATTCAGAGCCAATCAGTTTACAGAATTCGTGTGCGTAGGCTGTGGTAAGTTTGATCACGGTAGTTTTGCCACTTCCTCCAGGACCGTGGACAAGACATATGAGCTGGGTTCCTTCGCCTCCTTTAAAGAGTTTCAGGTTTTTCTTCTTATTGCGATACTTCTCGATCAAAGTGAATTCAATTAAGCCATCGTTCTCATCGTCTACCACCTCATCATAGAATGTCAACAGACAGGCCGATATAATGGCCTCGAACGCACGCCGTTGTAGCGGTTCAAGTTTTCCTGCACTCGCCCATTCCAAGATACTAGCGATAGATCCGTTTGCTTCATGCACCTTCGCTCCTTTGTTGTATTCAAAATTGCTTCCCTTGCTCATGCGGTAGTCTTAGTCAACAGAACCTCAACAATATCACTAATGTGAAATGGCTTTTGACCACAGTGCAGAGGCGCCCTCACTCTCGCCGAGACCGAGGCCGGTCTGGCGTTAGTTCAGTCGCGCGTGGGGTCACGTCCCGGGAAGCGTCGATGAATGCGTATATCGAGTTGGATGGAATGCATCGATTTCGAAATGATATTCCTTGGGGCGAAAGACTTAAACGTTTTCGAGCGGGGAAGCCAACCAAGGATGACATAATGTACATCAACCATCACTGTGTCGTGTCAAAGAACCATAAACCGAACTCCAACATTCAAGTTGCATGCCACTATAATTGGGAGCGAGACGTGGTCAACACTACAGTTTTCCAGCAATTCTGTGTCGCAAATGCTCCTGCGGATGCTGACAATGTTTACATGGGGGCAATTATGATTTTGATGGACAGCATGGAAATGTACAATGATCACAAGCAGTACGTTCCAGTAACAAGCAACCGCATCAAGAAACACTTCTGGACAACATGTGGCGAATCGGATTGTGACATGGACAACGGACGTGTTGATCCGGCATTGAAGATGTACTACAACTGCCCTCTGATGCTGACAAAGAATGAAGACGTACCGAATGGACAGGCAAACGGTTCGAGAGTGTTCCTACGCAAGGTACATGTAAAGCCCGGAGAACAGCCTTTCATCATCAAACTCCATTGCGGTGTCAGAATCCGTGTCTTCCGTGTGACCCAAATTGACAGAATCACAGTAAAACACGAGATGAAAGACATGTTGCCAAGATGTTTCGATGTCAAGACACACGGAGTGTCCTTCAAGTGCAAGATGAAAATCGAAAAGGAAAAGATTGAGGTTCGCATGAAAGGAATCCAGTTTCCTCTTGTTAGCAATTCAGCGACCACAGGACACAAGTTGCAGGGATACACAGCATCGCAACTGTTGGTGTGGAACTGGCACTATGCAGATAATTGGGTTTACGTGGTACTTTCAAGAGTAAGAGAAATGAAAGGTACTGTCGCTCGATTTAACAAAGTACCAGATGCCAGACGAAATGGTGCATATGCTGGAAACTTTCAGTCGCTACATTCCCTTCGATACTATTTCCGCCGACAATTACGATGAAATGTTACAGTCCGAAGCAGCATTCAATTAACCAATTCCAAATAACTTATACAAATTCGTACTCTGACGTGTTCCAACATTGTTCATCGGGTTTTGAACTTCAATGTACAGAAGTTGACGTATTCCTCGTTCCGTTTCCATGACAGTTACTGGTACGTTAACGGTTTCGGTGACGGTACCAGTACCGGTAGCGGTTACGGTCGCGTTACCGTATGTGCACGCACACACCTGTACAGACGTTTAAAAACGTTAAATACAAGTTTCGTACTTACAGATACACATGACCGTTGATTCTGCAACTGAAGTGCGGGTACACTATTTTACACAGTAAACGCGAGCGAATCGGTTTCGGAGTGCAACTGAGGGGGAATCTAAAAGGAGCGTCGTCTCGAGGAGACGTAATTAAAGGGGTTGAGGGCTCTGGCAGCAAGACTGCCTCAGGCAGTAGCAGAAGCAAGGCATTGTAAAAGAATCTTGGCTTGGGGGGCAAGCATGCCATCCACTGAAACAACAAAGGGATTGAAGGAAGCCGGATTGGAGTCACACGCTTCTATAGTATATATCGAAACTTTGTCGCCTTCTTGTTGGGTTAAAACTTTTACGGGATCTTTGTTGCGGTAAGAGGCACAGTCCAAATCAGTGACACGTACGTCAATAATAGCTGTAGTACCACGTTCGAACATCCGCGAATGGAAAGATCATCACATAAGAGCTCGGGGGCTGGAGGGGGATTGAGAGGGGGGGAGGAAGGGGAGGTAAGGTTGAAATAGGATGACCGGCAGGGATAGTAGTGGCTGGAACAGATGGAAGGGGTGGTTCCGACTGGACGCTAGAGGAACCAAAACATTCACACGCAATAGAACCAAGTTCATTGCGGATTTCATTGTGGCGACGGATAATTAAGCCGCCGCGTTTGCAATCCAGAGCATGTGGAACACTGAAGGGACCAGTACAACCATCACAGATAGCTGGAAGAGCTAGGGAGGTAAGACCGAACCAGAGAAATAGAGCATCACGCCATGCTTGAGCAGAGAGGCGAGTGCGTTTGGCAATATCGGGCATGACCGCAAGCCAAGAGCCAGTGCAACGACTGTGATTGAGGCGTGACTGCTCAGCAGGAGTGAGAGTGGCTTGATGGGTCTCGAAAGCCGCTTTGTAGGCATCTTGGTGACATTTTTTGACACTGATACGACCTTCAGTGAGGGCTGTGCGATGGTCTTCAATTCTGAAAGGATGACGTGGGGGCTCAATGAAGGGGGGAGGGTCGTGGAGGGGGCTAGGGGGGATTGGAATTAAGGGCAAGGGGGCAAAAAGAGATCGAGTAATTTCCGATGTAATTTCGCGACTGGCAGATTAGCGGAGGGGGGCTTCCGTAATGGGGTTTGGGAGAGAAAGTCCAGCAAACTTGTATGGGAGGGATGATGCTGCATCTGTTGGTCAGCTACCGGCACGATACTGGTGGATACTGCTGTAGCGGTCGTAGTACCAATCCTGGAAAGAGTTAAAAGACTGTCATCCCTTTTAAAAATTGAAACACTTCATATAAAACCCAGGCTCTACAAATGGCAGAAACCCAGCAGTAAAAGTACAAGCCACAAACCATGCCAAGAACTATGGCTGTGGAGCATGAGCATGTCCTTGACTGTGCGGCCTAGAAAATGGAGGTTCCAGGAGTGAATATTCCCCTGTACAAACCTGTATTGCTCCGCCCTTTGAGATGAATGTGCACTCTGGGAAAAGCCTGATTTCCAGGGATATTGAAACCTTGGGCTGTTTTTGAGTGCGTTATTTTGGAGCATTTGATGGAATTCACGGAGAAGACATCACCCGATACATTCTTCCTTGACATTGGTGCAAACATTAGCATGTACAGTTTGCATGCAGCTGTGTGGGGGCGAGATGTGATCGCCTTTGAGCCATTTCAAAGGAACTACCAGCGCATTTGCAAATCAATTTCCATGAAGAAGGCCTTTGAGGAAAGGCTCACTATATTCAATGTTACCCTCACGGACCATCCAACAACTGTTGGGTTTTCATCTTTTACTGAAGACAATTTTGGTAGGGTTCATGTGGACGATCAGGATTCGAAGGCAGAATCATCTGGTGCTCCTGTACGTGGAGTAGACTATGCTCCAGGAGTCGAACTGTCTTCACTGAAAAGTGTGTTGCCTTTGAATCACCCTGCTGTCATCAAGATTGATGTGGCGGGTACTGAGTGTGGAGCTTTGGGCGGTGCCATGGAATACTTGCATACCCTAGATATTCACTATGTTGCAATTGAATGGTGCATCGAAATGCGAAAATGTCAGCATGCCGAAGCTATCTTCGAGTTGTTCCGGAAGAACAGGCTAACTCCCTATCAGTTGCTCTACTTAGAAAATAAATGGAAGCCACTCAACCCCACTGAGTGGCGTCAATGGGGCAACGATAAGCCCACATTTGAAGTCTTGAAGACTCATAAGATTGGAGTGGGGTGATTTTTGTGGGTTGTGGGTTGTGGGTTGTGGGTTGTGGGTTCGCAAAATATCTTAACACCAAGTCTTATAGATATATACCTTATTATTAAGAATCCAACCGGCTTCATGTGGAAACGAGTACTAGCTAGTACCTCTGGAAGCTAGACCAAGCTAGTCTAGCTAGTCCATTCAGAGCAATTTGCAGCCACAATTAATACATAGCTACTAGAGAGCTAGCCTGCTGCTGGCTAGCTTCTAGCTTGCTACGCTATGAAGCAACCTCCTTTCTAAACTAAAGAGCTAGCTGGCTAACAGACCTTCTATACACTGAGTCTTAGTTAATTTTGTGGGTTGAGCAACCCACAACCCACAAAAGTGAACCCACAAAATTCTACCACCCCAAAAGATTGACCTTGCTTGCATTCAAGAATAACCATGAGCAATACATGTACAGTTGTTTTCATTAACAAGAGTGGATGGCAGACCTACATGTAGCTAGTTCTACACCTAGATCTTCACATAGGCCGCTTTCATTACAATGGGGAGGACACAATCCACAATTTCATAGGTGTCATAATAGCCCAAGCACTGATGATTCCGATGGAGGATGAAAAAGTCGAACAACCGAAAAGTTACCAGAGAGCGAAGCGTGTGTTTTAGCAATTGGTGAGGAAACTAACTTAGTTCAGTCACTTTTTGCTAAAATCGTATGACAAAATGTAGTTGTATCAATCTCATGGATGTGACAGTGCTATCATGGCCAAAGGTATGGACTGCCGGTTTCACCCGAACCACTGCCAGGTGTGATTACGAAGGTAATATCTTGTGTTGCAGTTGTTGCTGGGATGCTGGGAGCTCTGTGTCTGGGGCTTAGAAGGAACTATTAATTAGCAACTTAACCTTGGGACTACGAAGGTTGTGCTTTGTACCGAGTCTTTGTGTTGGCTTTGCTATGAAAAAGATCTTGTGGTTAGCTAACTTGCACTTTTAATGTATCTGGTGGCTGATTCACCGAGGGTAGCGTGTCCTTAACAAGGTTAGGCATAATAAACAACAAGATCTCTGATCTCTGCTCTCATGGGCAATGCTTGCTTGTGTTGGCTTGGGGCTCTGCACGGCCATCTTTGACTGAGTTCGCTGAAGGCTACCGGTACGGTATCCCACGGGGTATGTCGCGGGCCTGGATAATTCGAGTTGGTTCGGTTCGATTCGGTTCGACCAGTGTAGGGAGTGTGTAGAGTGTTTGTAGGTTGTCGCCATTAACTCAAGGATGCATCATCACTGCATTTACTAGACATTCCGACTTCTTGTGAAAAGCTATCGATCCGACGCCCCACTGGAACTCTCACACAAAAGAAACTCTCGTTCATGTTTCCATTGATTGCCATAAAGAAATAGATATTTCTTTTCCTTCTTATGCGATATCTGCCGGCCCATTGTTGTCACCCCCCTCATCTCCCTTGCTTCGGTTGCATTCATAGCAGAGTATAAATGCGGCAATAATGGGTCCTCCAATAAACCAAATACCGCCTCGAACCGCCTGACCATCGTATTCTCCCCAATCACAAGTCCACCAGATGCAGGGGATAAAATGCAGAAACATTCCAATCAAACCTCCCAACACCACGGCTTTGATTACTGCGGGGCAACAGCAGCAGCAGTCCCACGCATTCAAAAAGATGACACGGCGAGTCACCGGAATGATGGCCAACAGCAAGATAATCCCATCGATGATCAAAGCACCAATCCGTGTCGAGGGCCACTCTGTAAAGTTTGCGGGAGGCCAAATTTCATTCTCATTGGTAGTAGTAGAGCTCATGGTGATTGTAGTGGGGAATCTTGAATCTTGAGAGCTCTCTTTAGCTAGCTCACTGATAGCTCTTTCGAGTGGTATCTTTGTGTTCTCAATTGCAGGCTAGTAGCGGTAGCGTGTGGTTCGGAGTTCGTTCGGAGTTCGTTCGGTTTGGGTGCACCTTTCCCTTTGCGCTAAACTTAATTAAGCCAGCCAAACCGGAAAACAGGTCATTGGCGGAGTTGGAGGCAACAATCCTCGGGTAGAATTCACTCTGGGCCCTCGGTTTGCTGTTGTCGTTGGAGAAGTTGGATTGATCATTCGGCTGATTTGCCGAGCAATTCCATCAGAATTGTCTTTCAACTTGGGCTGGTTAGGCGCATCTTCCCAGCAGTGATAGTCTATCTAGCTAGGACAGTGCCGCTTTTTGGTTTCTTGGTTTTGATTGCAGTTTTGTGGTTGTGACTGTTTGTGCTCCAATGAAGAATAGCATCCATTTACGCAAGCCCCAGCTACCCACGAAAGACAGAACGAAAAGAAAGAAACAGAACTACTAGCTAGCATGGTTCTTGACTACTAGCATATTCTTCTAAAAACTGTATCACCGCCGTCATCTTACTTACTCACTCACTTACTTGGCCAACGAGAGTGTTTGAAGCTCGGTAAAGGCATCGACATCGGATTTGCCAAGCTCACGACCAATACCACTCTGCTTGAACCCTCCAAAGGGAGCTCCCGTAATGTCGGAATGCTGATTGACCCAAACGGTGCCACTGAGGATTTTGGCGGCCATGTCATTGGCCACAGCCATGTCCTTGCTCCAGACCGAACCGCCCAATCCAAATTCGGAATCATTGGCTCGTTCTACCGCCTCTTGATCCGTAGCAAAGGGCGCGAGCGGCAAGACGGGACCAAACTGCTCTTCGTCCCAGAGGCGAATGCCTTCCTTGGCACCGGTGACAATGGTGGGTTTGTAGAAATATCCCTTCTTGTCCGCAAACGTGCCTCCACCACATTGCACTTGGGCACCTTGCGACTTGGCGTCTTCGACCAAATCCTTGATTTTGGTCCATTGAAATTCTGTGGTGAGGGGTCCGTATTCAATGCCCTCCTCCAAGCCATTGCCCATTTTCTGTTCGGCCGCCGTGGCGATCGAGACCATTTCCGTTTGGAATTGATCAAAGATGGACTCGTGGACCAACACGCGCTTGACGGCGACACAGACTTGTCCGGACAGACCAAAGGCGGCATTGAATACTTTTTGGGCCGTTTCCTTGACATCGACGTCGCCGCGAACAATGGCACAATCATTGCCTCCGAGTTCCAAATTGAGGCGTTTCACGTTGGAAGCACAGGCCGCCATGATGGCTTTTCCGGTAGGTACGGATCCTGTGAAAGACACCTTGTCAATCTTGGGATGATTGGTCAAAAAAGCACCGGCATTAAAGGCATTGTTGGGAGGCGCCGCATCGGTGACGACGTTGAACACACCGGGAGGGAAAACATCTTGGACCAGTTCGGCAAATTTGAGGGGAGACAGAGGAGTGTAGGGAGAGGGTTTCCAAACAATGGTATTGCCCAAGACGACGCCGGGAGCAATTTTTTGGACGGCGAGAAAGAGTGGGAAATTCCATCCGGTGATGCAAGCAATGGTGCCAACGGGTTTGCGACGGACTTCAATACGACGATCGTCCGTATCCGAGTAAACATCGGGAGGAGTTTCAATTTTGAGAGCATTGCCAATCAACCAGTTGAGTCCCAAGACTTCAATCTTGGCGGCGGCGAGGGATTTGCCTTGTTCCAGGACGACCAACCTGGACAATTCGTCCACATTGTCCTCGACAATTTTAATAATGCGTTCCAAACACTTTTTGCGTTCCGCCATGTCGACCGCCTGCCACGTTTTAAAGGCCTTGTTGGCGGCATCAATGGCTTCCACACACTGAGCCTCGGTACATTCGGGGACCTGGGCAGCCACTTCGGCAGTAGCAGGATTAATCACATCAAAAGACGTGTCCGAATTCACCATCTTGCCGTTCACAAGCATGTTGAAAGTACCCGTCGACATCTTCACAATGGCCATGTTCGAAGAGATAATAGTACTGGAAGATGATAAAAGACTGGCTGCCGAAACCAAACGAAAAGGATTCTGGATTGTGAGACCTGTCTACTAACTAAATACAAAAGCAAACCTGCTTCGCCAAAGAAGGATCGTACCTTTGGGTATCCGCGAATACAGGGGGTTCCAATGCTGCCGAACCCTTGTCAAAGATCGCAAACTGCAAGCTGCTTTCATAGAAGTTGCTTCACCAGTTAAGTTAATGCGCAGCCCTGTCTTGCCTTGACTTTTTCGACGGTGGATAATGACAAATAAATGGAGCCAACGGTCGTTTTCACAGAAACCATTAGATCTATGCCAATGAAAGTGAGTGCAGCGCACCGGTACCGGTTGGTACATGTACCAGAAGGACCATACGTGGATACCCCTACCGTTAACGGCCTAGCGGTTGGCCAAACTTCCAACGTTTTAAATCCTACCTTGAAGTCTCCGGGGGATCCTGGTGGCTCCATAAAGATAGTCTACTCCCTCATGAAGCAAGCAATGCGTCTGTCAAGTAATGCAGACTGCATCCTCGGAACAAATACAGTAGGGAACAGTGAACTGAGAACCATCGTTTGGTTGATCACGGATCGAAGGCCAGCCAGCTAGAGCAGCTACGGTAGCTTCAATGCTTCAATCAATAGTCGCAAGGGCAGCACCTCGAGAGCCATCGTACGGTAGATACCAGTACATGTACCGGTACTCAGAGCGGAAAATAGCTTGTGGGTTGTTTGTACAGGACTATTACAGTACCTGGTACGCACTGCAGTAGCTCCTCTGCGTTGGCTGGTTGTACCAGTACTGGGGCTAGCCTTTTTAACAGAATCTAAATGCTGAAGCGAAGTCTATGTTCCACTGAGTCCAGTCACTCGACTCGACTCGACTCGACTCACCGCAGGGGCCTCTGATCCAGTCGGACCATGGCAAAACACATGGACCGTGCCCACCACTTTTGGTTCCACAATGCGCATCCTCAAATGTGGCCAAATCGTGGTACGTTAGCTAGCGGGGATAGATATTTCTTGGCTGTCGCTGGAGGAGCGAGTTCTGAATCGGGTGCGTGAGTGGCTGCTGTCTTTGGCTGGTTGGCTGGTCCTGCTCTCTGTCCATGCACAATGACCCCCAGAGAACCGGACGAGACCCGATGTTGCCCGCTACGGTATGATTGTAGGAGCCTATTCGATGGTATAGCTACCGGAAGAACCGTGGAGCTCAACGACTTCACAACTTATCCCAGAGGAGAAACACACATTCCGAAGGCAACGACACCCATGCAGCTATGGCACTATTCATGCGGTCCTTTTGAATTTACAGCGGAGGGTTTTTCGGGCAGCCTCACAAATCAACTGCAGCCGCTCTTTAACTTGCGGTTGCATACATACACCTGAAGTCGACAAAGTAGGCTTGTAATTTGCTTTCATTTACTATTATTTTTTTAAATGTACAGAGAGGCGGCGAGACTATTCTTTATTTTGCCTTTGAGCTTTGTTTGCCCTCGGCAGTCTTCCGCATCCACCAATTTTAATATGTACAAACTTGGCAAAGAGACATCACTTCACCAACAGCTCCACAGCTAGCAACGTGCATTGCTGTGTCAATTTAGTTCATCAGGTGCTCCATGATGCCCTTTCCACCAGCCAATTCTTGAGCCATGAATCCAGCAGTGGCAAGCATAGCCAGACGGCCATTTTGGAGTTCCTTGTTTTGGAGGACCAAAAGCTCCTCAGGATCCTCAGGCTTCAATCCAAGGGGATCAAATCCAATGTCACCAGGGGTGTAGTCGGCGCGCAAGAGGCCTGGTTGGTCAAAAGGGACATTGGAAGGTTCAACCCAGCCAATTTCAGAACGCTTTCATCCTGGTTGGTTCATCTGGATTATTAATTAATCGAAGGAGAGACCCAGACCTACCAATGACACTCAGGCCCAAAGTGTACAAAAGAGCAAGGTCTGGTCGCAAATGCCCGAAGAATTGCGAGGTCGAGGGCACCAGATAGACGCCAGGGGAGTGGGGAGTGGGTTGACGTTCAGAACTGCCGCGAACCACGGATGCAATTCCAAATGACTAAGGAGACCCACGCATATATTGCACTGGTTTTGGCTACAGGCAAGCCCCATGGTATTGCCCATGATGGTGGGTCCTGGACCAGGAAGTGGGTTCCCCGCACCGTGCTGAACAAAGGTGAGGATCTCGGTTTGGAGCAGGATGTCAACAGGGACGGAGATGTTGACGCCACCATTGATGGGAATGGCAACGACTCCACCACCAACGGCGTAGGCCACGGCGTTATTCCAGAACTGTGTCAGGGAGTCCGCGTCCCAATCGAACAGGATTGGCGGGTCATCTTCGGACTTGGCCAGGCCCGACAATGTGTTTGGTCATAAGATCATCGTGTTGAGTGAGATGCCCAATCGTCATTCGGCCAGTTGTGATATCTTGCTTGCTTTTCTTCTTCTTCTTCTGCTTCTGGACGGCGTGGTTGAAAGAGGTACTGGTAGGGGGGGGGGGGAATAAATACTAAATAGATACGTTAAGGAGCTAGGGGGGCGAGGCTAGGCAAAGCAGTGGCTGCGGTGGTGGGTGGCTGGTGTGGTGGGCATACGGGGAGAGCAACGAGGACGCGAGCAGGGCAAAACAAGGGGGCAGGGAAGGGGGTGCATGGAGGAAAACCAGGAAGGACAAGGGAGCAAAATTAGCGGAAGAGTGCAAGTGCACCATCGGCATCCCAGAGAGAATGACGGTAGCTCATTGTGCCAGCAGGGACACGAGAGCCACGCATGCAGAGGTGGCGGGCCCGAAGAATAGCTAGGCTGAGCCGAGCATTAACGTAGCCACGCACCACTGAGTAAGGGCGTTCCCACTTTGCAGCGAGCAAAGCGGAAATACGTTTCGCGAGTGCCTCAGCTTCGGCCCCCAGGAGACCATCAGCAGAGACAACAAACGGAGTAAAGTGGCGGTGTTGGGAAAGACAGGCGTCGAGATTCTTGCGTTTCTTGTCACGTTCGCCATTGCGAAGAACCTTGTCAGGATCCTTGCGGCAGTGAGAAGCAGCATCAAGATTGATGACACGAACATCAATTATGCCGTCAGTTCCGCGTTGCCAGAGGCCACGGATAAGGAGATCACCTCGTTCCTCTGATGGGGTGAGAACTACAGGAGAGTCGCTGGAAGGCGAAGCATCCGTAGCTGCAGAGCGACTAAGTTGGATACGGAGTTCATCGCGAACTGCAGAAGGGATGAATGCCTTGGCAGCGAGATCACCGAGTTCATCACGCACTTCATTGTGGCGTTGGAGAACCATGCCGCCCTTGGTACAGGCAAGGGCGTGAGTGACACTGAAGCACTCTCCACAGCCATCACAGTGCTGGCTGGGAAGATCAGAGGGGCTCCGATCATAGCGCAAGTGCAAAGCATCGCGGAATTCCTGGGCAGCGAGAACAGTGCCATTTTCTGGCACTTGAACCACATGAAATCAGGCGCCATTCTCCGGGGCGAGCTTCACAACAGAACGACTGGAACGTGGCAAGGTACCTTAGGCCTTGTGCAGGTTCACAAAGATCAAAAGCAGATAGACCCCGGTGGTGTGCGTGCCGCTGTGACACATTTGTTCGTGGTCCGCCACTAACAAAAGCATGGGGAGGTTTACTATAGAGCATTCAGCACAAACAAGAAGATTCAAGTCGGATTTCCCCGCAAATATGGAGTACTACAATTCCATCAACCCGAGAGCTCGGGGATGCGACTACTAATACTGTACTAGCAACAACACACCCAAATGGCGCAACCACCAGACCCAACTGTATCCACTTTGTGGAATATCTTCCAACAACTATGATCGACACACTGCTGAATGTGGATACATTTCGGTCGCCATACAAAGGCAAACCATGGTCTTGTTGTCTGCAGTGATTTCACTTGATTTGGCTTCATTTTGCACGGTGCTGATGGCCCCACCTGTACTAGTTACGGGAGAAGCTGAAATGCCGACAGGCTCATTTACTATCAGTTTTCAGTACTCCCCGTGTTATTTGTTAGTAGCGGAATCGAGGGCTCTCTCAACCCAATGTGTGACATCTCGGTTCTGTGAGATCTCGGGCTTGTTTACGAAGCGTTGAGCCTTGACTGTTGGCTCTGTGTTAGAGTTTCGTGGGATTGCCAAATTTCCCATACCAGTAGTGGTATAATCTTGAGGAACATTTTGGTGTCATTCCGCCACCTCCTCAGAGGCCGGCCTCACGTTCCACCCAGGATTAAGCCTGTAGACTACTTCATTGAGGTATCCGGCTATGGATACCTGTGTACAAGAGGTGGATACGTATGAACATAACAGTTAACGGCTGAAGAACACACTCCCGTCAGTTTTCTTTGAATTCGACCAATTAGGATCGACCACATGTTGCAAACGAGAACTCTGACTGACACACCTCTTTGGTGGCTATTCGATTTTGCCAAGTCCTCCCTTACCGGAACAGTTTTAAATCATGGAAGTCACGTGCACTTCAAGATATTAGGAGGGGAATTCAAAAGCATCACAGAGATCATCCAGGTCTGTGCATTTCCCTGCAGTAGGGACTACATCGAACTCTTTGCCTTGATAGTTGAGACCAAAGTTGGGCCCAGTCTCCTTTGAGGATTCCCACTCTTCTTTGGTTTGTTCCCCTTTCTTGCAGTAATTGGAAGCTTGCAGGGATGTGCCAGCGGCAGTTTGAAGGGCTATATTCTTTGATCCAAGGTCTTTGTGGACACCGGTCATGGAGAGTTTCGTCTTCAATGTGAAGAATCCTTGGAGGTGAGGAGTTAGTTCCTTCTCGCCTACTTCTTTGCCATAGACTAGGTAGTTGCAGTAATCTACATAGAAAGGTTTGAGGCATTCGATGTCTTCATCGTCGTAATTGTTGATGGTGAAACAATATCGGGTTGACTGTTTGGTCATTGTCGAGGTTAGAAGCTAGCTAGAAACAATGGGTTTATCTATCCTTGGATTGCGATTATGAGGCAGCGTTTTTTTTGCTCACGAGGATGGGTGAAGGTCTGAAAGTTGATGAAAGTTGATGCCGACTGGGTGGAGTTGCCAACACAGGCATGCGTACCTAACGCATGGTACGATTGAATTTGGCGCGAAGTGGCGACAACAGCGAACATGCAAAGTCCTGATATACTGCTGGTACAGCTAAGGGAATGGGTTACTACTGATGGACGGACAATGTCATAGTGCTAAGGACTACTGCAAGGGAACCGAAATGGGTTAGGTCGCTCAATCGGCGCGAGGCTAAGAGGGAGGCTTGGGTCCGCTCAAGCGCCGCGGAGGCTCAACCTGGAAGAAAAAGTAGAAAAAAGAACAGATTGGGCAGGTAATATAGGCTGCCCTCCTGTTCTACTTTTCGAGTGACCCATGGTACGTATCCGGACCTTGCCGGGACGAGATGCATTAGTAAAGGGATGGTTAACTATTGAAGGATTGTAGTTCCTCAGCCGGTGTGTTCGAGGGAAGTTTTAGTCTTTCTTGGATCTGTTTGCATGTGGTTTTATTCAACAGCACATTCGACACGTTCAATTTGTTATATAGGACTTTGTCGTTCTTGCAATACACGGCTCTTAGCCTTATTCGCGACTCGATCCTAGATAGGGTTTGAGTTCGACTCATGACTGAGTCTCTCGTGAATAGTCATTGAGACAGGGTTCTCAATGACCGCTCTAGTCATACTAGGTCAGTGATGAAACATCGCGCTAGATATTTAGCCAGCGAGGAGTACTTCCACGCTACTAGATCAATGCTAGACGAATCTTCCACGCGTTCCGGTTTTGGATCGTGGAGTAGGTAGGATTGTTACCACAACCTACACTATCACACTTTATAGTCTCCCGCGGGAGTTCAGATCTACGATCCTTTGATTGTGATCTCTCTCGTTGATTAGTTTTCATAGCTTTCTAATCTCTCTCATAACTTTCATTCTCTCAAACTCAAAACACTCGAAAGATCTTTACACTAGCTTTAGCGTAGTGCATTTTGTTAACAAACACAATAGCTTTCAGCTACCTTCAACCTATTCTTCACCATGAAGATTGCCAAACATGCGTTCGACAGCTTTGAGAAAAAGCTGCGCAACAAACCAATCCTTCCTCTCATCGACGATGACAAAGAAGCCGAAATCGATGATTCTCGTGCTACCACTTCGCACTATTCCAACGGACACGGACAGTGCCAAGTACACCTTCAAGGTCCAGGTCATCAATGGCTCTGAGACTTCACGCCAAACCATCAAGTGGGCTACGCGTATGGAGAAGGTCTTCGTTGGACTCAACATCGCTGACGCCAACGACAAACATAATCTCCTCAAGGAGATGACTTCGAGCTCTGCCAAGAGTGCCTACGAAGCTGGTACGGCAGGAAGTCGTACCATGCGATGGAATACCCTTCGCCATTTTGCAGTCAATGCAATTCCTCCACGCGACGTGACTTCTGCAGAAACCGAAGCTGCATTCCAAATCCGTGTCCAGACTGCGAGGAAATGAGCAGCAGAACCTGCTTTGGACGACGGCGACATCACCGTGGGAATCAACTCCTGCATTGAAGCGGTCTGTCCCTATAAGGCTCTTGAAAAGCAGAAACGCTTCATGCGCAGTAAGATGCGTAAGCCCAGCGAGATGTCTACTCGCGCTTATGTCAACAACCTCACTCGGATAAACACCGGTGAACTTCCTCGTCTACCACCTTTTGGAGTCAACCTAGGTGTGAACCAAGACGAATTCATTGACATTATCTGTCATGGAATTCCCCGATCCTGGATGAAGAAGATGCACGAACACGACTTCGATCCCTTCACTGCAGAGATTGGTGCACTCATTGGATTCTGCGAACGCATGGAATCCTCTGAAGACTTCAACAAAGGATCCGAGGTTGCCAAGAACAGTACAAACTCTAAGAAGAGTAGCAAGAAGTACAAGTCCAACCGCAACAACTCGTCCAAGAACGGAGGAAAGTGGTGTGACTAGCACCCATGATACTGCTGATAGCATGACTCTCAAGAAGCTCAAGGCCAAGTCTTCCTCCGGCTCTGATAGCAAGCCAGCGTACAACAAGAACAAGACTTGGAAACGTAAGTCTGACGATGCCAAGTCTTACACCAAGAAGGAACTTTCTGTCTCTATGAAGAAGTTTCCAACGCTGCCATTAAGGCCGATCGCAAAAGAAGAAAGGCGAATGCAACCATGTCGCCAAGCGCAAATCGGATAGCTCCGATGACGAGGATAACTCCTCTGCCGGGTCCCTCAACATGATGGACAAGAAAATGGCCGCAGTCGACAAGGCTCTTGCCGACTTCGATTTCAATCAATCGGATGGAGAAATCTCCGTCTGAGGATTAGGCCAGGATGATGATTCCACGGAACCATGTTCCGATTTCTCATACCTAAGTGATGAAGATATCTCACTAACTAGTAAACAAGAATTGTTTGCAACTGATGAACTCTACGGCAAATTAGATGATTGCCTAGAAGCTGCTCAATTCGACTCTGATGATCCTCTATTTAGCATCGTTAACCTCGTCCGTGGCCAACCACCTCGTAAACGTCGCAAGACAAGAGACCTCAAACCCATCGTCTATGTTAGATTTAACAGACGAGAAAAAGGGAAACCAAAACCAGTTACACTCCGCTGCTTACTGGATACAGGAGCATCCGGAACCTTGATTGCTCAAACTCATGCTAAGAAATTACGCATGAAGGATCTTGGGGGCGTCAAGACAATGTGGACTACCCCTGCAGGAGAATTAAACACCAGCACGAAGTGTAAAGGTGCATTTATGATTCCTGAATTCCACGATGATAGAATGATTATCGAATGGGATTTACACCTCACCAAGAGCTTGGGGGCGTATGACATGATCATAGGTTGAGACATTCTCTCTGACTTAGGATTTAAGTTCGATTTCACTACCATGTCAGTGGAGTGGGACGGCATATCTATTCCTATGAAAGATAGCGATACCAATGAAGAAGAGAACTTCTTCATTCCTGATCCTACAGCTGTCGACGACAGTGCAGATCATCTCAAGAAGATTCTTGATGCGAAATACGAACAGCCAAGCTGACTTAAGGCAGGTATGTCAGAGTCAAGATCAGTTAAATAAGGAAGAGCAGGAACAGCTCCATTCCTTACTGAATAAGTACTCCGACCTATTCGATGGTACTTTAGGAAAGTGGCAAATGGACGACTACGAAGTAGAATTTCTCCCTGATGCTAAACCCTATCATGCTAGGGCTTATCCTATTCCACGTGTCCATACCAATACTCTTAAGATGGAGGTTGAACGTCTCCGCGAAGCAGGAATACTCAAGAAGGTAAACCGTTCCGAGTGGGCGGCACCAACATTTATCATTCCCAAGAAGGATGGATCTGTCCGATTCATCTCTGACTTCCGGGAACTGAATAAAAGGATTAAGCAAAAACCTTATCCTATCCCAAAGATACAAGACATGCTCTTGAATCTAGATGGATTCAAGTACGCTACCAGTCTAAACTTGAACATGGGATACTATCACATCGAGCTGTCACCTCACTTGAAACAACTCTGTAATATCGTACTCTCTTGGGGAAAGTACGAGTACCAGAGGTTGCCAATGGGCCTATGTAATAGTCCCGACATCTTCCAAGAGAAGATGGGAACACTTATGCACGACCTGGAATACGTCCGTGCTTACATTGACGATCTACTCATCCTAACTAACGGCGATCTAGCAGACCACGTTGAAAAGTTGGATGACGTTCTCCGAAGGCTTCGAGAAGCCGGACTTTTAAGATCAATGCTACCAAGTCCTTCTTCGAAAGAAGAGAACTTGAATATCTAGGCTACTGGATTACTTGAGAAGAAATCCAACCCGTAACCAAGAAAATAGATGCGATCCAGAATATCGCTCCTCCTACGAACAGGAAGAAACTTGGTTGATTCATTGGACTAGTGAACTACTATCGAGACATGTGGATTAGACGATCACATGTACTAGCACCACTCGCTTCTTTGACTTCCAAAACAAAGAAGTGGAAATGGGAAGCTGAACACGACAAGGCCTTTCGCCAGATGAAGAAAATCATCCGCAAAGAAACCTTGCTCGCTTACCCTGACTTCAACGATACATTCGTTATCCACACAGATGCAAGTGATACGCAACTGGGTGCAGTGATTTCCCAGAAAGGGAAACCTATCGCGTTCTACAGCAGGAAGCTCGATCCTGCTTAAACACGCTATACCGTTACGGAGAAGGAACTTCTCAGTATCGTAGAAACTCCAAAAGAGTTCCGTAATATTCTTCTCGGACAGAAGCTTATTGTACATACGGACCACAAGAATCTTACATGTAAGAACTTCAATACCGATCGCGTTATGCGATGGCGCCTTATTCTGGAAGAATATGGCCTTGAACTACGGTACATCAAGTGCGAATACAACATTGTCGCTGATGCGTTGTCAAGACTTAACATCTTCGACAATGATGGTTCTTCAGAACAGATGGAAGCCAGCGAGATTGCTGAGCTCGTGGCTGCAGACAAAGAGGACTTCCCTAGTGAATTCCCTCTCTCGTTCCCCGAGGTCGAACATCGTCAGAAAGACGACAACGATATCAAGAAACTCCTCAGGGACAAGCCAAACGACTACAGGAAACAATCTTTTCCCAGAGGGGATAAGTCTTACGACTTAGTAGTCAAAGACGACAAGATCGTTGTACCCAAGGCTATGCAGAAGAAGCTAGTCGAATGGTACCATGGTGTACTGATGCATCCTGGCGAGACTCGCACGGAACTTACCATCAGCCAACACTACACCTGGAAGGGACTGCGCAAGACTGTGCAGGCCGTATGTCAGCGTTGCCAAAGCTGCCAGATGAACAAACCCAAGACGCGTAAGCTGGGATTGATGCCTCCAAAGACTTGCGAGG